AGTTTATTATATGTATCAACAATAGCAGAAGAAATGCTATTGAACGGAACACTTAAAAGTGGCCATGCCTAAATGACAGGGTTTGGATGATATAGTTTCTCTCTTGCCTGGTCTTCTGAATTTTCAGTACTGGTCATGAGTTTGGCAAAACTCATGGGCTCTCGTTTGTTGGAAGATCACCATGACCTCATTCATTCAGAGGGGTCACATTGCTCTGAAGAATTGGTCTGGTCACCTTCCCTGTGTCTCTTTACTTCCTGTTGCACGTCCCTAATACTTCCATGGAGACAAGTATGCTGTGCCTGCAGGTTCCCTTCTAAAAGCTTTCTCTGTGCCGACTGGTACCTGACATCTGTTTCTGTAGGGAAGACAGAACTTTGCCTCTTGGAAACCCAAGGGAAGGGAAATGATTCAAACTGGAAGTCCCAGAGAGCTCCTCTTTCTAAGGACAAACAGCAGTGTGAGGACACAGGGGACACTCCTCTCAGGTGGGAATCTATAGCCAGAAGCACCCCACCCACCTACTACTTCAACTCCAAACCTGCAGCCCCAGCTCAGGGCCTGGAACTCAGAAGACAACCGACAAGTCCACTTGCAAGCAAGTGGAAGCTGTAGGGCTGACAGCTGGGTGCACGCTCAACCAGGAAGAGGACGCCCACAAGAAAGCAACAGTCATGCACTGTTTGTAGAGCACTGTGGTCTGAGAAACACATTAAGTGATGTCATCAGTGTATGAGCATCTCGCAGTGTATTTAACAAGCCTAGCCGGAGCAGGCACAACAGGGCTTCGAAACACTTCCCTCTTGTGACCTGTTTTCATCCCCCCCAAAAAACTTTTATTCAATCGCAGATATATAAGTATATAAAATAATACAAATCGAGCACTTATATACATTGCTATATGTATAACTTTTGCCATTTATTGACTATGAAGGTAAATTTGCATATGGATAACTTGCTTGTTATTTATTTTTATATAAAGAATTAAAGTGTGTCTGAACATTGGATAGGCCATCTTCAGTGTTTTTTGTTTTTTTTGTTTTTGGGGTTTTTTTTTTTTTTGGTTTTGGTTTTGTTTTGGGTTAACCAGTGTTTGGATTTTATAATCATCAAAGCTGAGATCACGGCTTCGCTTAAACAGGAAAGACCAAATAACAAAAGAATATTTAGGGTTACTGTAGAAATTGTTGGAAAATTTATCCTAACCCCAAGTCAAAATTCATTGAATCATTTTTTTAAACAAAACTCACGTCATCAACTTGACAAGCAATCTTTAAAATCAAATATTCTGACAAAATACACTAGAAAGGTAAAGTAACTTGATACTTACACCCTGTGGGATAACAGTAGGAAAATATTTTTAAAGTTTTTATTTTGCGTTAATAAACTGTCAAGTTTCTATATGTGCTGAGAATTCTGTATGTGCAGTGAAATGCTGCAATTTATAATGTACAATTGTCTAATGCCATCATGACTATTGTCTTGAATCTGAGCCACAAGATCTAAGACAGCATAGGTTGGTGCCTCGTGAATGATGTCATGCACAGTGCTAAGCGTGCATGTTGTGTGTTCAGAACCAAGGCTGCAGTGAAGTCCCACAATGCATTTAAGGTGAGCACTACCAGAAATATTCAGACTAATTACACACTGATTTGGAGTTAATCTTGGGTCATTGCACATTTAGAAACTCTTATTATTGCCTTTTTTTTTTTTTACAACTCACCCATTTGTGGGCTCCCAGCCCAGTTAAGAAGCTTTGGTGTAGCCTGTTACCTATTTCCTCTATATGATGTCAATAAGTAGATATGCAAATACATGATAGACGCCGAAGGAGATGTAGATATGTAAGTACATATATTGAGTAGCCTGTTGCCTCTGGGTCATGATAAACAAACATGACGTTGAGTCAAACAGAGAAAATGATGCAATCAAGAACACAATAATGTAGCAAGAATTTCTTGCTTTTTATAAAAGTATGTATATCAGCATATAAGATTGAAAATAGCATTATGGCATTTTCAAACAAAGTCAGGTTTGTTTTATTGCAAATATTTTTTTATAAATACGAGTATACTCTAACAAGAAAAGTATAGTGTAGATACACAAATGAGTAACATAGTCACTTACAATTATCAGGTATGTATTTTGCATAAATATATTGCTATGGTTGCTGGCAGGTAGTAGGTTTGCCTGCAGCTCATCAGCAAAAACATGTGTGTTCTGTGTAGTGTCATGATTGTTATAATGGTGACCACATCCCTAGGACAGTAGGAGTTTTCAGCCCCATCATTACCTTGTGAAACCTCCCTCATACCTGTCATCCATCATTCTACGGAAAGATTGCCTATACAATGCATAGTGAATTCTGACTGTTCTGTGTCATTTGAATTCTGAAATTTCCAGTTCACTGTAATTTAAATAATTAAGCATTTACCCGAAAATGGAGGTAGCCTCTATTTTGCCAGACCTAAGATAAGAGTAAAGATTCATTAGTAAAGCCAGGATAGAATCTTTGAACCACATTATTCAACATGGTATCAGGATGGAGGGGCTACCTCTTAGAAGAAAGTCTAAAAGCAGAAAGGTCAGGGGCATTTGAAGCTACGAGATGGTTTTGGCTGCAGCATAGGTGCATATGAGGCTGGTCCAAGGTGTGTTGAAGGCATTTGTTTGTTTGTTTGTTTGTTTGTTTGTTTTGTCTTGAAGGTCCAACTGGAGACAGGCCTTGAACAGATGGAGTAGACAGACACTCTGCCTAAAGGCTATCTCAGTATCCCTAATCTTCCCCTCAGCTCACCCCTTCCCCTCCCTGATTGGTCCATCCTAAGGTCCTCAGCCACCTCCACTTCCCTATGAGGCCCTTCTCTCTGTCATAGAACAGGTCATCAGTTCACAACTGAGTCAACCCAGGCCAGGGATGGGATTTAAGCAGGAAGAGGAAAAAAAGAGAGACCATCCCAGTCATTCCTCCAAGCTCTAGGCAGGGAGCAGCTTTGCAGGTCACAGGAGCTGGGTCTTGGCACTAAGGACCATGAGGAGGAGAAGTTCAAACGTCTGGCAGCATCAGGAGTCAGAGTCAAGGTGACCCTAGTTCAGGAGTTTGCTCCAAAGCAAGACTCTCAGTGCAGTTCTGGAAACATTTGTTGACATCTAGATACAGTCTAGGTCATCGGGATTGGCAAGGCGGTACTCCTGGAATCTAGTAGGATGCTGCTAAGTATCCTACAGTACATAAGATGGCTTCCTACAGCAAAGACATCTCTATCCCAAATTCACAGTCACAAGGATGGGAGGCAAGCACATCCAAACCGTAACACTGTCTCTTGAAGGACTTAGGCCAGTGGTTCTCAACCTTCCTAGGGCTGTGGCCCTTCAGTACAATACTGTTGTGATGACTTCCAGCCATAAAATTACTTTTGTTGCTACTTCATAAATGTAATTTTGCTACTGTTATGATTATAATGTAAATATCTGATATGCAGGATATCTGATATGTGGGTCCCTGTGAAAGGATCCTTTGACTCCCTTCCTTTTGACCCAAGGGGTCACAACCCACAGGTTGAGAACCACTGGCTTAGGCCACACTGGGTGAAGGGAGTGCGTGCAGATTCTCATGGTCTTCAGATCTCATGGTTGCTTAAACCACCTCCAAGACCCAGAAGGTCTTTCTAGTCCTTTCGTTCCCAGCCAGTGTGTGTGTGTGTGTGTGTGTGTGTGTGTGTGTGTGTTGACACACATATAGCCAGGGACAGACTCACTTTAGCAGGGTGAAACCTGCCTTGTCCACCATCTGTCTCCCCTGTCCATCAAGAGACTCAGCTGTCTAGCAGCACCAGCTCAACATTGTTAGAAGCCAAGACAGACACCCAGTTAGAGAAGACACAGTGACTTTTCTCGATGCTGAGAAAATGGAGGGAAATGGTCCAAGGTCACATGGCTAGCAAGCGGTGGCACTGCAGTTGGAACATAGCTTATAACAGTGACTGTTTCAAGGACAAGGTGGAGAGCTCTCAGGAGCCATGTACCAAGGTGGGGTCACAGAGCAGGGCCTCCATGAAGAGGTGGCATCTATTACCTGTGTAAAGACAAATTAGAGAATTGTCTCCCACCTGGTTGAACCATAGTGCCAAAGGCTCCCAAGCAGAAGCCATGTAAACACACTCCTTAGACCTACATACAGCCAAATGTCCTGTAGCTGTTGGCTGGGCAGAACAGGCCTGGCTAAAAATAGAAGGGGCTCTCAGGTCCAGCTCCCTGACAGCAGCCACAGCTCCCTGCCCAGTTCCCCTTAGGCAAGAGCTAGTCTTCCTGAAGGAATGGAGACTTCTAAGACCTCCATCTCAGGAAAAATAAGATTGTTTTAGCTTGATGCCCAGTAGATATGACCCAAGGTCTGAAACAGTCATCAATGGGAGTTGGGGGCTTCACCATAACGCCTCAGTCTATGAAAAGAACTATCTATCAACTTTCATAACCACCCAAGGAAACAAAGAAGTCAAGGCTGAAGATGTGACCAACAGCTACACACCCTGCAATTCAACCTTCTCCTTGCCTTTCTTTTCCAAAACTAAACCAGCTCTGAAGTGAGGTTTCAGGGTTGACCAGTGACTTCTCTTAGGAGATAGATGAAGGCGATGAGGCAGCACCCAGCCCAGCCACAGGGAAAATTTTGCTGGAGCCCAATACCTGCACTTCCGTTGCACGGGGAGGAAGGGTCATAAACCCTGCAAAGTGCATCCTGGGTGCAGTTCAGGGCCGGGCCCGGGGATTTCCTTTCAAAGGTGACTTAGAGGCACTTCAGGAGGGTAGCGCCCTCCCGGGCGGGTCCTAATAGTGAATTTGGCAGAGTCAGCGAAACTGCGCCCGGCGGACCTGGCGGCGGGGCAGCGCCCTCTCCCGCGCCCTCGCCCTCTCCCGCGCCAGGCAGCGGCGCGCACGGGGCCATTTGCAGCCTAGGCAGCCTCGCGAGCAGCCGCTGCGCGCGGTCCTGGAGGGAGGCGGCACCATGGAGCTAAAGAAGGACAGCAACGCCGTGGCCATCGACATGCTGCTCATCGTGCACTCCGAGAAGCGGCGCGCGGCGCAAGCCACGCACTTGGACCCGCAGGCGGACCCGGGCGCGCTGCTGCAAAACCGAGGAGGTAACATCCGCCTGGCCCGGGTCCTCAGGATCCCTGGGCACCTCGGCCACCAAGCCCTGGAGTCCGCCCGCCGGGGGGACGCCTAAAGCAGCACCCCCAATCCCCAACGAGGCCAGTCCAACCCTCTCCCAGACCGCTGCTTGTGCCCCGGGAGCCACAGCACCTGCGTTCCTTGGCAACGCACAGCGCACTTTTTGCCCCAGGCCTGTTTTCTCCCGCTATTCTCTGGAGGGTGCAAAACACGTAGAAAAATGCTCTTCAGAAAGAATCCAGGGCTGTAGGCTGATCACGTGTAGCAGAGGCCTAGTCCCCAGGCAGCATGCATCTCACCATAAGGCCCCAGGGGCCCCAGAGGATCCTTGTATTGAGTCAGACTTTGAGATAACTTAGAGCCTCAGTTTCCCCTTTCTTAAGCCTCTCTTTCAGCCTCCCACAGATATAAGGACTGACTGGGTGAAGGGAACCTGGGCTGGGGTGTGGTGGAGTTGGGTTTGACGGCTCCTGACCGTACTTGAATTTAGCTTCAATTTTACTTGTTCTGCAGACGTAGGAAAACGAAAACTGACAAGTGATTGCTTATAGGGTGATTGCGGAAGGCAGGATCTGCCTCTGTTCTCCATACATACACAACTTGAGAATATAAAGGGTGCCAAACGGAGGCTCAGGAAATCCCCGAGAAATGTAGGGGCCTCGTGGCGCTGGTCTTGGAGGAAGCCTCTGAGACTAACTTAAGAGTCTAACCCCGCACCACTTCTTTAGCAGAGATGCCTGACCGCTACACAGAGAAAGATGACTGCTGCCTCTCACTCTCTCTCCAGCCCACGCATTCCTTGGGACGCCTTCCTGTTGCTCTATCTGTCCCCCAGAGCCTCTGTGCACATGAGGCGCCCACAGGCCGTCCACCTGCCATGCTAGGGCAGCGGTTCTATAGTCAACCTTGATCCACCAGCCACATGCGCTGGGACTCTGATGCAGCTCAGAGAGGCAGCTAGGGAAAGACTGGAGAACTGAGGGTTCACTGCAGTTAGAGTTTAGGAGGGAGTGTGGGGATGGGAGCTGTTTAGGTTAATTGATTCTGTAGTTCCGCGCTGCTTCTGGGAGAAGGGATTAGACCCTCTCAGGGTCTTTGAAGGAGAAAGAAAATGTCCTCTCTGCTTCTTGATGGGAATGAAATGGCGCCTGTCACATGTAATACAATCCAGAAGACCGCTCCCCGAGTGTAGTGAGGCCCAGTTCCAAATCAGTGTGGTAGTCCCCACCTCCCAGTCCCTTTGCTTCTGACACCAGAGAAGATAAAGAGAAAAGCCCTAGAGTGTTGGGTATCAAACTGCCCTCAGGGTACCCAAAACCTACCCAAAATGCCATGACTCCAGAAGGGCATACATGCTTTGGCCCTGACTTGGGGGTAAAGCACCCCTATTTGAAAGGCACTGGTATTTTTCCATAAACATTTTCCCAGCAAAGGTTTCTTAAAGATGCTGGGCAGTTGAGAGAGCTGTGTTCCCTCTTCTGCACCAAAGTGGAAAAGGAGAATAGTGTAGAGACTCCAAGGTCTGCCGCCACGGAAACCCCAGGCCGTACCAACCTGTGTGGCCACACTTTAGGACACAGCCTGAGGGAGAAAAGCACTATGTCAAACAACTTGTTTCGACGTCTCACACAGATGCACAAGAACCCAAAATCGCCCTGCTGAGTTTCAAGTTTCTTCCTGTCACCTCCAAGCGAGTTCTCCACCTAAGAAGCAGCTAGAGGAAGGCCTTAACCCTCTACACCCATCAGAGAAGAATAAAGCTCAATTATTGTCACGAGGCAGACACTGTGGCCTTGCACTGGAGAGGAGTCAGAGGGACAAGATGCTAAGGCATGGAAAGTCACCGGGGATTTAGGCTGCAGGGCTGGCCTAGTCTCTCTTCTTTTCTCTAGGAATCCACCATGTTCTCAGTCATTTACATAGAACAGCGCTTCTCACAGCGCAGACTGTGGAGAACAACAGACTTTGCAGAAAAGATGGCGGGGGGGGGGTGCTGAGGAAGATTTGGGGGCTTCTAGGTAGGTGAAAGATTAGAGAGCCAGACCTGAGACTGGGCTTCCTGGGAACACTGCTATCAAGTGTGCCACAGAACAGGTCTTGTGGTGACACATCTGCTCCCCTTACCCAGGCATACATCAGTTCTGTGCCAGGGACTCAGTCTCTCAACTATCACTTCCAGCCACTGCCAGGGAGAGAGCTTCCCTTCCCTTCTGCATTACATCATCACCAGAATGAAACACAGGTGCATCTGATGGGCCATGCTGAGACCTACACAGGCCCATACTCTAGCTGCAAGGGATGCTGGGAAAGTAGGCAACTGTCACTCTCTACTCCCATAGGAACAGGCAGTCTTTGTCCGTGCTCTCTGCATACAGAAATGGACAGGCAAAGCAGATAGAAAAGGCCCAGAAAAAATAACACTTTCATACTTACATGTTGGTGATATGGGAATGAGTATTGGGCATCTGTATAGCCAAAGTTCCTTCTGGAAAATCCTGATAGCCAATCCCATTATCACTAAAACCTACCTTTTTCAAAAATATTTTTTTTTTATTTAAGGGTTGCATTGCTTCCTCAAATGGGTCTCATTCAAGGGCAGCCTATCTCAGATCCTGAAAGAACTGGTTCCCCCCAGCCTTGTTTAGCACAGATGGGTCTGTAAGTGGAAAAGTGGTGCATGGCTCTCGCCCTAATGCTCCCCCCACAGAGTCTCACACCCAACCTTTCTCTCACAGGATTCCAAGGTGTCAGAAACGGAATCCGGAAGTGGCAAGAGTTGGAAGAAAACGGCTTTCAGGGTAAATCTCTTTTTCCTTCTGTTTTCTATTTTGTCTTTGTGATTCAAAACCCTGAAAAATGAATGGAAGAGTCTAGTTGTGCTCATTGGGAAACTGGCCCTAACAGCTAATCTGTGATCAAACATGGCTGCCTGTGGCTCAGCCAGGCCTCCAGGCCTCTGTGAACTGGAAAGCTATCGGGGCTCCTGCCTTTCTGGAAGCTGCAAATGGGAAATGATGTCGTGAACTCCGGCACCCATTTGTTTGCTGGCTGAGCTATAGAAGAGGATTTGGCTTCACTTGGAGTATTAAGGGTTGTGTGTTCCCACCAGCGGCAGGGCTGCTGACAACACAAAGACTAGACAGCTCTAAAATGTGTTTGGGTTTTTTGTTGTTGTGGTTGTGGTTGTTGTCATTTTGGTTTTCTCTGGACAGACTAGGATAGTGGCCTGTCTTAAATCAGTATTACTTGAGGCCTGGGTACAGCCAGCCAAAGGTTCTATAGTCCCTACCGCCCCTGAACTGTGGAATACAACTAGAAGTTCATTTCCAAAGCCTCTTCTTTCTGGTTCCAGACAGCATTCTTTTCTGATGGCCCAGAACCTTCCTGGAACACAAGAGATGGGCCATATATAGTGGGCTTTGTTTTGTGGCCTCAGATTGATTACTCCAGCTTCCAGAGGAAACATCCACACCAATATGTACAATGGGAACACAGAGGTCTACTAGGAATCCAACCTCCACTCCCAGAACGTTGTTAAGGGGTTCCATCAGACCCCATCCATGTGAACCGTGGACTCAAATGTCTCAGCCTTCACAAGAGCACAAACGAGGAAGAGTGACTAACTCTGGCTTTGCCAGCCTTCAGACAGTGGCAAAGAGGAAAAGCACATGAAGAAAACTAAATTTATAATATGTTTATTCCTTCAACAGCTCTGTTTATCATTTACTTTTCACCAGGCAAAGGTATAAGTGTTAGAGATTAAACAGTTAAAAAGGAAGTCAAGAACCCTGTCCATGTAGGGCTGTGTGTTCAAATGATTTCCATTTCCCTGAGTCCCTTACATTGTTCATGGGAAGGAGCCATCTTCAAGATGCATACACATCCATTAAGGAAGTCATCCTCCTGTGTCCTGGCTAGTGGATCCATATAAAGCTTCCTTAATGGGGGCTGAGCTATAGGGAAATTCTAACTCTCTTGTGGTGGCAAAGGTCGACATCAAAGCTAGCAAAGCGATACTCTGAGCCACTAAGAAGCCTAAGAAGGAGACTCCAGGAACTCCAGCCATAGGAATGGCCACTCAGAGAGTGTGTGTGTGCATGTGTGCTGGGTTCATGTGTGAGCAGGTGAGTGAGCGAAGTGAAACACTGTGGATAAAAAAAAGAATATCCTTTATGTTGTTCTTCTCTTTGCCTTGTGTGAGCCATCTGTCAAGCATCAAAGGCCTCTCAGAAAACACTGGAGTTGTTCTACTTTGAGTGTCTTCAAGGTTGGATGGGAGATTAGTGAAAAACTTCACAAAACAGAAAGCAATACAGTAACTCTCAAGATGATTATAAAAAAAATTTTAAAAAAAAACACGACTCCGAGGCTCTTAGTATCAGTTCGCAGAAGGTGATTTAAATAGTCCTTTAAAAAAAAATCTAATGTTTGAAGATTTGGTATAAATCTGGCTGCAGAGAATGTCTGCAGAAACCCTAAATCCAGGAAACATGGTGGTTCTGCCATCCTGCCAACACATGTAGTTTTAATGTAAGACTTCGTCTACTTGTTAAATGACATGCACGTATGGGGAAATATAATAGCTGCTTTCCATGGTTTTTGATACCAAGATCCAGGACACTAGCATTGCAGCAGATTTCATCACATGTGTGCCTTGTTGGTACCCAAGTCACCCACTCCTGCTAATCAACAGGCTGTCCAGCCCCGGCAGTTGAAGAAATTTCATCTCAGAAGGAAGTGGCCCGGTGGCATGTGCTGACAGAGTGTGCACAAATGGGACTGAGTATGGTGTCGATCCAAAAGGGCACATGTGTCCTCTTGTTGCTACTCTGTACACTCCTCGGGCTTGGGTGTTGGCAAGAGGAACGATGGGGAGCCTGAAACACTCCAAACTTTTGGAAGTAGCAGGTGTTTGGGCTGAGCCACCCCTCTCCCACAGCTCACCCAGCAACGGGCTTCCCCTGCTGTGATTGGCTGCTCTCCTTGGTCCTGGCTGAAGTCTGCCTAGCAGCACGGTGTCTGGTGCCCTACAGCTAGAGAGAAACCACTTGTGCAGCCCTGGCTATAAATACCTCTCAGGAGATGTGCCAGCCAATCATCCTCCTTGAGGATTCCCTTCCCAGCTCCTGTTTCCTCATGGAGGTACAGCCAGCCATGCCCACAGAAGGCAGCCTTCCTGTCTTCACCCGAGCGGCCTGGAGCTCCAGCCCAGCATGCCACGTCACCCCACATTGGCACACAATGACAATGGATCTGTCCTTGGCTAGCCAACCATGTTCTGGAAAGTCCTGGGGGCCTGACTCAACTCTTTCGTAGGAAAGGTCTAGAAACGTGCAGGTTCTCCAAGACAAATCTCTGGGTGGATCCCAAGTCTAGCCCAGCTGAGTGCCTCACCTGCCCACCTTGACCAGCTTCTGCTAGTAGAAGGCATAGGAAACAGAGTTGCTTATGTGGTTGGCTCCACTGTTGTAGACAGTAGTCCTAGGGATGTGCTAGTTCCCAGACTGAACCACTGTTTTCCCTAAAGTGAGGCTCACTCTAGGTCACAGGGAGTCGATGAATTGTAAGAGAAATTGTTGTATGAGAATCTCCTTCTGCCATAATCGTGGCTCTTCCTCAGACTCTTCCTACACCCATGAAGACAAAGTACAGGGCCTGCCTCAGTAAGGATAGACCACAGCCACAGACCAGCCATAAAGCAGACCTGAATTCATGCCTAGGAAGGGCAGAGAAGACAGTGATGGCCTGTAGCAAGAACTAGGCATCTCTCTTCAGCATCCTGACCCCTCTGGGCTATAAGGATGTGTGAACATCACCAGTGGGTACAGAGAACTCAAACATGTTGAGTGGCCTGTAATATTGGTGAAACTAAACCAAACCGAGTATCCTCCCATCTTCAAGGCTAGAATCAGAAGCAGGTTACTGTCCCTGTGCTCCTCAGAGGGAGGAAAGAAAACTGAGCTAGGAGTTTGGAAACTTAAGAGTTCAAATACCGTGTTGGAACCTCCCAGTCCACTCCACTCAAAGGTATGATGATCAGTCAGACGTCTGTGTCTGAGTAAATATCTTGGAAATTGTAGCAAAAAGTCCTGAGAGTGGTGGTTCCATAGATCAGTAGAAAGGATCCCAGCCTGGATAGGCTTCCACTGGGAGACAGAGGAGTGGACACTTGTGGACTCCCGTGAGTAAGGCTATGCTAGTCCAGAGGTGTGCACAGCGTGGCAGTAGATGTGCTCAGCCCCAACCAGCATACAGTTATCTCAGGTGCACTCAGCTCCCTCGGTCTCCCTCCCAGGGAACACTATACCATTGTCACTGTGGTCACTTGCCACCTTCTTTGTCTTCCTTAAATAGGAAACTTGCCAGAGAAGCAGTGCCTTCAGCAGCCTCGGGTCATCACTTCCTATGACAACCAAGGTAAGAGACAAACCGCTAACAACCATCTCTCCTGGGGCTGTGCGCCTGGCTCCGCTGCACAAGCGTGCAAGCCCAGGATATGGAAATCAGGCTGCAGGGAACACCTTCTCTGTGATCTATGAAGACTGGAACGTCCTTCCATCTCTCGGCATCCCAGAGGAGGAACTGAGAAACTGTATGGTCCAAATCTGCCCTTCCCCTCCAGTCAAGAAACGAAGTCCTTGGATTATGGAGTCTCACCATTATCGATATTGTCAGTGCTCCAGCTAACTAACACTGAGTGCAAAGTGTGTGCATGGGATTCTGCCAACCCCATACACACTCAAGAATCAAAGCAACCCTAACTGGGTGACAGTCTCACTGCTTTACAGATAAGGAGATCGAGGCTTGAGACAGCTATCCAGCAAGAGTCAGGGCCAGCTCTCCGATACCTAAGGTCTCAGTTGTTAACCTTCACATGGCTGGGCTTCTGTGGCTCCCTAGAAACTGATCTCCTGCTGGCTCACAGTATCCAAGTCCTCCCACATCCTGAGTCACAAAGGTTCCTTGACCTCTCTTGAAGCTGAGCCTGATGAAACATCCCACTTCGTGCCTAGTTTTCTGCAGCAAGGTGGAACAACCTGGTCCTTCCTTGAGAGCCCTAATTTTCCCAGAAGTGCTCTGGGTACTTGAAAATGCCAGGCAAGGACACTCTCTGCTGACCAGGCTGATTCTGCAGTTGTCTAGATCTGAGACTACCACGAGGTAGAGTTGAGGTTTTTACTATGGCTAGGGGAGAGCCTATTTAAAGGACTCCAGCATCTACCATGGCTCTTCATCAGATGCCTGGGGTTCTCAGGCTCAACCTAGAGAGTTGGCTGCCATTCCTGATGCCATAACACACAAGAAAACTATGCCACAGCACCCAAGGGGCATGGATGTGCTCCTTCCTGAAGCACAAGAACCAATGCAGGCCAGGCTACTTCTCTGACACTGACTTGGCTGCACAAGTCTCCTATCAGAGATACCTCACTGATGTAGAAAGATCGTGAATGGGCTGCCATTCTCTCAATATGGGGAACAAAACTAAGGTTCCTGTGTGTGGAGCCGAATCCTAGAGAGAAGGAAAGACTGAAGGGGAAATTAAGGCAGGAGGGATGGTGGGGGCAGGGGTTGTAAATGAGTTTCCTGTAGCTCATTGGCTAGAAGTAGCAAGAAGATTTTTGCTTTAAGCTTCTGGGACTGAGAAGTCCGAAGTCAGCTTTGCTGGGTAAAAGGCAGGTGTCAGCAGGCCTTTGAAGCCTCGGGAGGGAATCCATTCCTTACCTCCTTCTGCTCCTACAGGCTGCCAACATTCCTTGGCTTTATGGCTGTGTCATTCCAGTGACTGCTTCTATTATCACATGGCCTTCTCCCCTTTTAAGTAGGCAGTTCTCTCTCTGTCTCCCTCTTATAAAGTTATATTGGTCACATTTTAAGGACCAACCAGATAGCCCAGAATAATCACTCTGAGATCCATAGGTAAGGCGCCATCTGTGAAATCTCCCTCGCAATCAGAGATTCTGCATGGATACCCTGAAAATTCATTATTCAGCTCATGATAAGGAACCATTGTAAACAGAATAGGAGAGGCTGGAGGTGTAGCTTGGTGGTTTGACTAGCACATGTGAGGCTCTTTAGTCTGATCTCTAGCATCCCCCACCCATCCCCCACCCCTGGATAAGAAGAACAGGTGGGCAGCAACTGAGACAGAAATATCTCTGAAAAAAGAGGGGGGTGGGACAGACGCAAGGGCATCTGGGGAGAGATTTTTAGCTAGGAGCCATGATGTGAAGGCACTCTCAGGCAGGCAGGCATCTGGTGGGTGTGGAAAGTCTGTGTCTGTGGCCAAAGGAAAAGAAGACATGAACAGAGTAAGAAGCAGGAGTCGAGGCAGAGAGGACTTGGGGCAAGACTTACGGTCCTATGTATGGGCTGCCTTCAGTGTGCTGGCTTCTGCTCAGAATATGGTTAGCAGACATCAGATGGCTTTAGACACGATGCCTCTAACATTGGGGGAAAGAACAGAACAGAAGGGGGGTTATTGGAAGAAAGAGGACTCCCCCGGATATGGTGGTATCATATCCAATGGCAAGAGGGTTTCCCATGTTGTGGTTCTGGGCTATAAGGAGAAAGGGTGGAGACAAGGGTTGAAGCATAAGCCAGGGATAGACACAACAGATGCAGACTGGGGAGAAAGGGGAAGAACTGGACGTCACTCTGTGGAGACTTGGCATTCAGGAAACAGCAAGGACATCACCATTGTGTGCTGAGTTCCTACTCACTGGTCAGCCTGGAACTCCTCTGACTCTGTTTTGGGGACCCTGTCAGCTCCAGTACGGCTTTCTTGGGAGGTCCAATCATAGCATGGATCAGAGGCAGAGCACGAGGTATGTGCCACACATCACGCTAAGTGCCTTTCATGGCTCCTCATCTCCCTCAGCCACATTCATCCACTTTATGAATGGAAAAATGGAGAAACCGAGGCACCAAGGCAACTTTTAGTTGCCTGAAGTTATGCAACTAAGCAGAACAAGTCACATCCCAGAGTTGAACATGTCTTTGTACCACTCAAAGCCAAGTGGGCTTAACTTCTGTACCGAACTTCCCCATACAGAACAGGGACCTATCTAACAGAGCTGATTTGAGGACAACCTCCCTGCCCACCCCAGCAGGAAGTCCAAGGCTCCAGGTGGAGCTTGTTGTTCAAAATGATTCAGCTTTCCCCCTCCTCCTCAGCAACTTGTTCTGTGGTAGATTTTATACAGCAGGTGAAAAAAAAAAAAGCACCGTGTAGTGCACAGGGGCCTTGGGAGATGGATCTACAGAAGGCTTGTGATTTGGGTGACAGGAGAGTGATCTAAGAGGCACAGTGACTTCCAACCCTCAGGGTTGTGGCTAAGGAGTCAGTTCTGAAATGACACCCATCGCGCTCGTCCCCAGCTTTTGGAGCTGACTGCTTCCTGACTACTACATCCTGGAAGCATAGAGCACGCATCTGTTAAGATCTAGCTAGGCATGGTTCATTTGAGAGTGCTTTTAAGATGACGAATGTTTAAGTAAGATTTTTCCAACTCTAAGTGTTACAGAAAAGTATGTCCAGGCTGTAAGTGGCTCAGAGACTCTTTAAGTCAATGGTGCTGAGTAGCTTGTGTAAATCCTGGGACTCCTCCGCATGCACACCTGTCTCCCCCACCCTCACCCCCATGCATGCATACACACCCATGCACACATGCTTGCTGGCAGTATTTGCTAATTGATCAATGCTCCTGGCAGCCACTTCCAATCAATCAGAGTTAATGATCAACACAAAACCCACTTGCCGTGCCCACATTAGGTATTCTGAGTAAACTGAGCTGTTAGACAAATACCGATTGAAACCTAGAGCCATTAGGAGAGGTGGCCGTGTGGAAGACGTCACCTGACTGGGTAAAAGGCCAGCCTAGAACAGTACCCACATAGACCCAGGACCCTGTATGCATCTCTGCTTTTGAGAAAGAAAGGAAGGAGAGTCAGCAGGGTTTAGAAAAGGTCCAGCCTGAAAGCCGCTTCATAGGGGTAGCAAGAAATAATCCCTAAAATGCTTTTACTAAGCGGCCAAGGCTGCAGTTTCAGAGGTCTTATTCAGCAAATGAATCCTGGAGAAGGGTATTGTGAGGGAGGCAGCCAGGATGCCCAAAGTCCCAGGAAAAGTCTCTTATCCTTGACTATCAAGGTCGGTGTGATTGGCAGCTGCTTGGGATTTAGCTCTGACTTGAATTTTGCCTGAGACTCTTGGTGATGAGAGCTAGGTCAGGTTCATATTTTTATTAAAATCTCAGTTCTATTTGATCTAAAAGTGAGGCTGGTGCACTGTTTGCCTCTCTAGTGAATGCTGACCATCTTGACACAGTGTGATGACCTCAGGCCGTTCCTTGGGGGCAGAGAAGTCTCTTGGATGGTCTCTTCAGTCTCTGGAGGGACTCAAAAGTCAGAATCAGGGTGAGAGTTTGACTGAATTCAGAATAAAACAGCAGTACAGCCTAGGGACAGCCTGGTCTAGGGCAAGGAGATAGAGTGAAAAATTGCAGGGAAAAGAGGGGGTCTAAATGGCATCAGGAGGAGCCAGTGGATGACAGCCCCCCTAAACATGAGGCCACTTCCCTGTTAGCCCCAGAAGAGCCACAAGAGTGGTTTGTTTCTCGGCCCCATCACTCTTCACAAGATGTATCTATATTAGGAGCAGTGTGAGAGAGAAGCTCACTGTTGGGCCCTAGGCTCACAAGCTGTTCACCATTGCAGCTCCTGTAAGGCTACGATCAGTTCAGCCCAGCAATCTCCAAACAACAGCTGCACTGGGTCAGACAGTCTCCTTTGCTGCGGGGCTGAAAGCATTGTGGGTTGTAACTCACAGTAGAGAGAGCATTCAGGGAAACCTCTCACAGTTTGCCTTTCACAAAGCATCTTGTGGCCACACACCACTTCGGTAAACACCTCAGAAAGAGTTTCACAAGAAAGTGAAGAGGCCAAGTGAACCAGGGCCACAAAGGGAATATGTCATGGATGACAGTGGCACCCAATCTTCTGACAAGAAAGGACTCACTCCCTGAGTTCTGATATTCCTTGGCATCTTCATCCCAGGATCACAAGGCTGGTGTCACCGGCAGTGAATGTGCTAGATTCTATACTTTACAGGTGAATGCTGGACTAGAGAGATGGCTCAGAGGTTAAGAGCGTTTCCTCCATAATCATGAGGACTACAGATCAGATCTCAGCACCACATGACAGGGCAGGCAAACTCTCAAATGCCTTTAACTCAGCTCAGAGGCTGGCAGCAACTGGAGGCTCTTGGGACTTGCTGGCTTCCAGCGTAGCTGAAACGCAAGCCTCAGGTTCAGGGAGAGACCCTGGCTCAAAGATATAGGCAGAGGGTTATAGAGGTCACCTTATGCATGAAACCCATACACAATACACATATACCCCACACACACGCTAACTAATTGATTGGTTAATTAAATATTTAAAATGTATGTTAAGTCTTTTTGGTCTGGGGAGAACACATTCTATCTCTGGTCTTGTTAGCATGCAGAACAAGTTTTAAAAGCGGATAAGAAAACCAATGATGTTTTTCCAAAAGAAAATAATTACAGTATATTTTAACAAAGGATTACTAAAAAGGAACTCTTTCTTACCAAACCATCAAGGGAAACATAACAAATCAGTACATACTATAATGAGGATGATGATATAATGGTGATGATGATGATAGTCAACATACAAAACAAATTTAAATAGCAAATAAAATATAAAGAAACTACACTAAAATTTTTTAAATACATAAAACAATGAGGTACCCTTCATTAATAAAAATGTAAAGGATTTATGGAAGCAGGTGCCTGTGAGCTTAGCAGGTATGTTTGTGTTATCCATCACCACAGGACTCAGCTGCTAGTGGCATCGTGAGCTTCCAAGCCTGCAGGTCTGCTGGACGATCACTGACCACGCCATACCCGGCTGATCTCAATTCTTGGCTGAGCTAGTGCTGGCTGTCAGCTGGTGGGCTGGCTGGAGACCAGATGGTTTCAGATAGCCTCACCTGAGCAGCCCTGCTCTGCACCCTGTGGTCTCTCACCCATAGTCTGGTGCACACACAGCACATACTGTGGCAGGGATGCCAAGAGTGCAAGCAAGCATTGCAAAGTCTCTCCAGGGCTAAACTCAGACCTTGAATAATAACAAGGCTTCTACCCCATGCTAATTGACCATACTAACTCGTGAGGTCTGCCTACATCCGAGGGGTGAAAGAAAATACCTCTTGTTGGGAAGAAGGCAAAGAGTGGGCAATAAACCAGGACAAGAATGAGCGAAAAAGGCATTCTCCACCCCAACCCTGTTGGTGGAATCATAAACCAGTGGATGGATGTGTGGGAAAGTTGGCCAGTATTACAAAAGCCTTACAAAATCCTCTTTCCCTTCCATCAGTGTTTAAGAATCCACCCACAGGAACTAATTGGGAAAGTGTTAATGATGTCTTCTTTATCCTGATGTTCACCATATCATCACTGATCATAGCAAAGCACTTGGGGAGTGCAGAATATCCAACACACACTGCAAGTCACAGTGACTACTCTGAACATGTGACATGAATGTGTGTTCCACTACCTTCCAGGACTGAGTGACACTCTCTACAGCGCCACAGAAGCCACGCCAGCTGATGGTGCTATTTAATACTTCTCCGCAGTTGCTGATTTTTTTTTTAAATTAATCCCTCCAATCTCTGAGAGAAGAGAACTGATATCTCGACTATAATGTATATTTGTCTATTCCTCTTTATAATTCTGTGGATTTTAGTTCAGATGTTTTAAATCTTTATGTTCAGGTGACTACATATTTGACATTGTCACATCTTCTTGATAAGATTTCTCCACTATTATATTTCTCTATCTCTGGTATTTTCTTTTGCTGAGTAGATGTGTTATTGAACAAATTGTCTTGGTCTCACTGTACCTGAAAAATGTTTTTATTTTATTCTCATGTGGAATTTTTATTGGACAGAGACAGTTAATTCCTTTCAGAATCTTTTAAAGATTCCACATACTTCCTATCCAGTTTCTGATGAGAAATACATAGCATCCGGATACATAATGTATCACATATACTAGGGTTTTCCGGAACATTGTATCTCAGTGATGTGATTATGTCATGTCTGGACTTGGATCTTCTTCTATTTATCATGTTTGGAACACACTAAACCTGAGTCCCTACATGTATATCTTTTCTCACATTTGAGTGGCTTGTTATTTCTTCAGCTACTTTTCTGCCCACGTGATTTTCTTCTTGCGAGAGATATGAACAGTGGACTTCTAAATATGGTCCTGTGGTCTATGAAGCGTTGGCTTTTTCCATTGTCCAAATTGGACCCTGGCTGATGTTCTCAGGCTCTTTCCTTTGTCGTGGAGAATGTTGTAGCTCATCTTTTGTTTCAGTGTTAAAATCTTCACTTGGTTCTTCCCATCTTCTGTTTCTTTTCTGAGTTCTGTATCTTTTGATTTATTTCAAAATGGTTGGCCTTTAGTTTTGGAGCATGGCTAATGTGCCATCTTATAGTCTTTGGGTTAAGTGTGGGTTGTCATGGTTGGTATCTTTTCTCAAACTGAGATCTTCCCAGGTACTCTGCTGAGTAGTTCTGAGTGGTTGCCTTTGTGGGGCCTATCTGCTGGCGTGCACCATGAAGTGACCAGTTCAGAATGAGGATGTTGTTCTTCCCCCAGAGTTTGGTATTCAGACTGTGATACATGGTGCATGGGGTGAGGCCTGTGGTGTGCAGCTGAGAGGTGACCACAGGAACTTATTTGTAACTTTAGGGAACTACACTTCATCACCTACTTCCTGTTCCTCTGGCCAAAAAAACCCAAAAAGACAAAAAAAAAAAAAAAAACAGGAGCTCTGGTCTTTTCACTCTGTGGGGTACTTTTTATAACCCATGTGGAAACAATCAGCAAGAGAGATGATGGAGAGAGGGAGGGAGGGAAGGAGGAAGGGATGAAGGGAGGAAAGGAGGGAGAGAGGTTGGAGGAAGGGAGGGAGGGAAAAAGGGAAGGAGGGAGGGAGGGAGGGAGAATACACACGCCACATATGCCTGGCTGCTAACCTCACTGCTATTCACATAGTTCCTTTTGAACTGAATCATGAAAATATAGAATAAAGAAAAAACACAGCAGAGAATGTCCCAACTCCCTGAGACAATTAGGGGTTCCCATTCCCACCCTTCAAGTAGAAATTGATTTTTTTTCTTGATTACTCTTTTACATTCATTCTGTACCTCTGGGTTGGGATGCCTTTGACTGAGGTGTTGCCAGAGCAGGAAGGAGAAGGGTAGACCTGTCTCGCAGCCTGGTCCTGGCCACCTCAACCCTGTTCTTTTCTCTCACTGTCTTTCCAGGGTCTGCAGGTAGGTTTCCCCATGTGTTACTATTCAGGCTGGTGGCTGCGTTGGATAGGGTAGAGAGAGTGCTTGTGATTGTTGTTTGGGTTAGTCCTGAAAAAGGAGAATTATCTGCATATTTGACAGAAAGATCTAAAATGAAGCATGTGCTGCCATTTGAACATCTGTCACGAGATGGAGTGGCCTTCCTGGCAGCATTTGGCTAAGAACGTCACCTCCCCCTTTGCAGGTACTCAGCTGACAGTGGAAATCCACCCCCAAGACACCATGCCTCAGCTGCTTAAGAAGTTCTCTTTGGCTAAATGTAAGTACATATGCAGGGCTGCTCAGATAGAGGGCAGGCAAGGGCAGGTGGGTGAGCCAGATTCCAGCCTGGACATCTTCTGAGAAAAGCAAACAGGGGCTTGAGCAGACAACCTGGGAGAAGGCAGAAGCTCTACAGTTCTATACACACCCGTTGTGTTAGTTCCTATTCTCATTGCTGCGACCACCCAACGAGAATCAACTTGAGGGAGGAAAGATTTATTTTGGCTCATGATTTGGGGAGATACAGTATACCGGGACAGAGAAAGTTTGGCAGCAGGAAATTCCATAAAGGCAGGAGTGTGCAGCCGGATGCATCACTGCCTCACATGGTGGTCAAACAGGAAGCAGAAAACAAACAGGAAGTAGAACTTGGCTTTAGCGACCTAAGAACTGCCCACCAATTACCCACTTCCTCCAGAGAGGCTTCACCTCCTGAAGGTTGTATATCCCTCCAAAACAGCATTACTATCCAGAGACCGAGTGTCCACACACATAAGGCTATGGGAGCATTTCACAGTCAAGTATGACACTCAGATGGCCCTATTCTTGTGTCTCTGTAATGAGGTCCAGGTGAGGTGCACATAACTCATAGTGCATTCTCCCACCAGACTGTCGCTACCTGCGTTTTAAGATGCCATCTGTGGGCTGCCAAAACTCATGGCATGCACAGAGCTAAGTACTTCCCGTGCCTCAGCTTTGTGACCTTTATGCAGATGCTGGTACTCACCCCATGTTTTTTCAAGTGGGCAAAGTGGGGCTCAAAAAGGAGAAACGACTGACTGTTCAAGAAAGTTGCTCAACAATAAGATACAGACCCAGGTCCAACTCTGAAGTCTCCAATCTTAGCTATAATATGTGGCAGTTGTCAGTCTTTGCAGGCAGGCAGGATCCTGACTGCAATGACTCGCTGTCCCTGGTCCATCTTCACTCTGGCCTGCCTCATGGCTGATGGAGGTCCCATGAGGAGAGAGGCAGAGGGGGCTCAAGTCTCCTCCCGACATATCCTCTCAATGATGCAAAACCCTCCAAGGCTACCCTTGTGGCCTTCAGCAGTCAGGACCCCAGAAAGGCAGTGTCATGTGGCTCTGGGCTCCACAGTATGCTTTCACTTAACCTTCTTTTAGATTCTTTTTCCATATAGAAAAGGACAAAAATAAGTACCACACCCTCATAGGATTGTCCTTAATTCCCAGTAAACACTAGCTACTCGGAACCCTGTCACTCCGTCTGAAGATGGAGGAGGAGGAAAAAAGAGTTCCAAGGAAAAACCAGAACCTATTTCTGGGAATGGAAAACACCTTCTCAGCTTTCAGTTCCTATATTTACAGCCTGAAGTGGCTCTGGGGGCACAAACCAGCTGCCTTGGTGAGCCCACCAGTTCTGAATGGTTTCATTAGACACCACATCTTCCTGACCCGGCTTGGAACAAGCAGCAAAAACTCCCTTGCTTCTTTCTCAGGGACTCTCGTTGGTCACTATTCACAGCATAGGGCCACCTACTCCAAGGGCTGCATGACCTTCTGGGCCCCAAGTTCTACACACATTCCCTTTTGTGCCTCTATTATCATTCTTAGCCTTAGTCGGTTCTTGTCTTGGGGAGGCATTAAAACTGCCTACATATAGTGACAACTGCCCTGTATTATAGCTAGAACCAGAGGCTTTGGAACTGGACCTGGGTCTTTATCTCTTGGCCAGGTAACTTTCTTGGACAGTCATTTCTCCTTTCTGAGCCTCATTTTGCTGACTTGGAAAACACAGGCCAAAGACAGGTCAAAAGGCTGAGGCACAGAAAATGCTAGAAGGTATAGGTATTTGTACCTATAGCATCTGCAGCTATGTTCCATGATGGCAGAGTGCAGAGGAGGGGTGAACAATAGCTCTGTGCTGGCCTGCTGCAGGGTATAAAGCCTTGAGATCACAACATGTTCTGACTCAGCTCAAAGACCATAGATCTCTTTCCTGTCATGTGTTCCCTGTTTCCAGTTTCTCCTCTGGCCCAGAAGACCTCATGGAAGGTCTAGCCAGAGTGCATGGTGGGTGGGGATGGGAGCAGGGAGTCTATGAGGGCAAGCATGAACAGGGAGAGCAACCAGGACTGCTACCTAGAGAATTGTCAGTGCTTGCCGTTCTGTTCCTCCTGAAGTATCTCTGACCTTTGGAATATTACAGGTTTACAAGGTGATAAAAATGGAAACATGAGACCCCGGCAGCCCGGAGGGAAAGATGCCCATGGTGAGTCCCAGGCCTTCTCTGGGGCCTCTTGAGAAAGCAGTGAGTTGGCCTCATGGTCCAGTCTCCAGCCAATAGGTACTGGCTTAGTGGGACATCAGGAGTCTGAGACCATCTGTGGATCTGGGAGAAAGAGTGTCGTGATTGACTAGTGGTGTCTGCCACAGACACAGGTGAAGAGGGAAAATTCTTATGTCATCCGTGTGCTAAAGATTAACCCCTTCTGACTACAAAACAGTCTACTACAGGAGACTGTGGTGGACTCGGGATGCAGAATGATGTTAATTTGGAGCTGGGATTGTAACTCAGTTGACAGTGTGCCTACCTAGCACGCATGAAGCTCCGGGTTCGGCCCTCAGGACCAGATCAACTGGATATGCTGTCATACTTCTGTAATTCTGGCATTCAGGAGGTGGAGGCAGGAAGATCAGAATTTTTACCCTCTGCTATATATAGAGAGAGAAAACCAGGTTGAACTGGAGACCCTATCTTAAAACAAAAAAAAAAAAGTAAAACTTAGACTTGGAATTTAGCTCAGTGGCAGAATTCTTACCCACCATGTGCAAGGTTCAATCCCCACTGTGACAAAAAAAAATGCAAAAATATAAATAAAATGGAGTGTCAAATATTTATAAGGTAGGGAGTGGGAGGGTAGCAGGTTAGATGTTCTGGATTGGAATCCTGCTTTTTCCTCTAATTTGTCTTCTCTAAGCCTCAGTTTCCCTCCTTGGTAGGCCAGATGCTATCTATGGCTCCATGCACACCTGCCTATTTTATTTGGCCTTAAAATCAGAATAAGTTAATTAATGCTCCTGGTATTTTAAGTATCTTCTCATAAAATCATATTCTCCGATTTGATTCTTATATAATCTTCTCAGAAGGTAGATTTAATGAGGCATGAATCATCATGGGCATTTTGAATATAAAATATCAAATATTGTAAAAATGGAACCAGGAAAAGAGGAACTAATAAAATAGAGATTTTTTTTAAACACCATTTTAGAAAGGCCATCCTTCTAAACAGGAAGTCGAGGAAGGGCTAAACTGAGTGGAAGCCTGTGTGGTGTGAAGGCCCACCTGATACCCACTTGTCACTCTGGTGCTTTATCTGACAGTGATGGGAGACAGGCTGAGAGAGCTCTGAGCTGTGGACACTCAGCAGGAGCTGGCCAGTTATTCCCCTTCTGCTGGGGGTGACCGATGTATGGCTGCCTTTGGACCACACTAGATGGTTATATCTGTGTTAAGATATCCCAGCTCCAACTGTATGGGTAAATATAAGCCAGGGTGATGTCACCTTCTGAGTCTCAGATCTGCCTCCCAGCCCTGACTGAGGTGTTCTTGTATCCAGTGGGAAGACCTAGATAGACACTGGCCCATAAACCAATATCAGCATCCTGTTTTCTCTCTTCCTTTTTCTATCCCTATGGACTGACTCAAAGTCTGAGTCTCCGATCTGGGAGCCTCCTATGGGACCCAGGTGGCCAGCTCTGACAGCTTTCTTATACCCAGCATGCCTTGGGTTACCTTACATCAAGCACTTGACCATGGACCCTCCCTGATAAAGAATACCAGGGGCCAGCAACACTGCTTAGATACTTAGATACTTCTTACAGAAAGTTTAAAAACGAAAACTACCAGGAGTGGGGAAGTGAATTACATCATTCCTTCAGTAATTGTCTGGGCACAATTGTGTTAACCAAGGTTTTTAGTGCTGAATCTCCAAGGTCTTCAAAATAATTTCAAGTTCCGTATGGGTCTTCAAGATAGGGGTAGTTACAGTTCCCAGACCGTTTTGCCCAAAGAAACATTTCTAGGAGACATAGCTCTTGGAATGAGTGTGTCAGTGTAAGAAAGGTTAAAGAGCCATGGATCCTCCGAGTGACTATTGGGCTTGAGCTTCCAGTCCACCATACTGACCTGGTTTCCTGTGTAAACAGCCTACCCCTGGGACCGATCCAGTTTGAAATCCATGCCCCTGGACCTCCGTCACTTTGAAAAACTGGATGCTTCTGCCTCACAGGTAGGAGAATTGACCCCCTGGCTAAGGTCCCCAAAGGTGACTTGGAGTTTCCCAAGTCAGGATAAAAAAGCCTACCTCCAGACCTCTCTTGAAAATACCCTGAGTAAACTAGACAGATAGTCTATGACTCTCCTTTCTCAGTGTATCCTTGGTACTTTGGTACTTCATTACTTTGTTACCGCTGTGATCAAATAACTGACAAGAGGCAAGTTGATGGAGGGCGAGTCTGTTTTGGCTTACAGTTCGAGGAGGTACTGTGCCTTGTGGCAGGGAGGGTATTGGGAGCATGAGGTGACTAAATTGCAACCCTAGGCAGGAAGAGAACAGACAGGAAATGGAGCTAGCTATAAAACCTCAAGGCCTGACCTCCGATGACCTACTTCCTACAACCTTCTAAAAGAATACCACCAGCTGGGGACCAAGTGTTTAGCCTATGGGGGACATTACATATTTAAAAACCACTAGTGTGGGTGAAGAACAGAAGGCCCAAGGGTTGTGTTAAATCTGTAGGTGGTGCCTTAGTTACTTGCTGTGATAAAACACAATGACCAAAAGCACTTAGGAGATGATAGAGTTTATTTCATCTTACACCTTGTAGTCCCTCATCCAGGGACGTAGAGGCAGGAGCTCAAGGCAAGAAGCCTAGAGATGGAAACTGATGCAGAGGCCATGATGAACACTTCATGGTACTCAGGACCATCAGCCCAGAGGTGACACTGCCTACAGAAAGCTGGGTCTTCCCATGTCAGCCATCAATTACGTCAATGCACCACAAGCTTGTCCATAGGCCAATCTGGTGGGACTATTTTCTCAGTTGAGATTTCTTCTTCCCAAATGACTCTAGCTTGTGGCAAGTTGACATAAAACTAGCCAGCATAGATCAGGTTTAGTAAATCTTAACCATGACCACAGGCTGCTGTAGCAGCCCGGATACCTGCCTGGCTGGCCCCAAATGGAAAGAGAAAAGTGGCTCTAGAGCCTGGGATTCAACTGGCCAGCACACGTGGCCTGTCCAACTCCCCTACCTCCACACTATTTACCCCCAGACAGCCTCTGCCCTCTTGGGCCCTGCTCCAGCTTCCTGACTGAAGAAAAGTAGCTGGCCATAGTTGGTGGGTGTTACACTCCCATCCTCTCTTGGCCCCAATAGAGTCTGAACTTTCTGCTCCCAGGTGACAGTCAAGAGTGGCCTAAATGAGCTGGTGAGTGACTTGCTCCAGGAAGCCCACAGCGACCTGGAAAGGGTCAGAGCCATCTGGATCTGGATCTGCCACCATATAGGTATGCCACCAGGGGTTGGCACTGGAACCCTGGATGCCCCTTCCTTCAGATACCTGCTTCTGCTGATTCATCACAGTGAAGAGTTAAGTCAGGGAGCAGTGCCTGAAGTAACCAAAGACTAACCAAGGAAGGCGAAAGCCGCCCTCCTAACCTGGGCCTTCACCCAGAAGCTGTGCTCCCTGGGCCCAGGATTCCTAGTAAACCCACTCTACAGAGATGAGAACCCGGGACAGCCATCTCCAAGAGGGTGGCCACAGGCTGAGGAGGGCACAGCTGTATGAAGAACAGTAGCAACACCAGAAGGTCCTAAGACAAGTGCTAACAAGGGCAGGTGCTCATCTCCCTGTCTCCTGCTGCTGCACCTGTGTCCTCGGCCACTGGCTTCTACCTATTCCCAAGGTTTTCAGAGACATTTAGGGGACCTGGGCCTGAGCAGCTGCCCACCACTCTCTGTGAGACAGTTTTGGGAATCTCACCAGGTCCTGACAAGTCACAGAGGGGTTTGCCAAAGACCTGCTACCCCTTGCTGAAGACTACAAATGGGAGAGATAGTGGCTGACAGAGAAGTGGGGTGGACCCTGGGTCCTTTGACATGAAGGACAGCCAGTGTCCCACCTAGATTCCCCAAGACCCCTCTTTTGTACTCCAGGTGCAACTTAGAAAATGTACTCACCCAAGGAGTGAAGGAGGCTGCCCCCTCACCTGCCCCACCACCAGCTTTTCCCCCTCCTAGACAAGTTTCATTAGGCAACCCTGGCTGGCTTGGAACTGTCTATGTAGACCAGGCTGTCCTTGAACTTACAGAGAGCTCTCTGGCCACCTCTGGGATTAAAGGCATGCACCATGAGGGTCAGGTGGTCCTCTCTGCTTTGGCCTCGATGTCCCTTTTGCCACCTACACAAATGGCGACCACAACTGGCTAGGTTGGGGTCCTGTTTCTGTTCATGGCACCGTTTCCTCCTGAGCACAGCTGTGGGTGGAGGCCATGTTATGGGCTCTGTGGCTTTCCCTGGGCCCTGTGGCTTTCCCTTCCTCTTTGAGACATCCTCCCACACCTGGGAGCCTTGCTTGCTCACAGCTGCCTCCTCTATCCTCCAGAGTATGACGTAGAGGCTGCCCAGGAGAAGGACCGCCAGGCCTTCAAACCCACTGACATCCTGAGGACCCAGAAGACCAACTGTGATGGTTACGCCGGCCTCTTTGAAAGGATGTGCAGGTATGAATGACAGCCGGTGATAGACAAGAGTCCCCGGGCTGTCACCCGACTGTGTCCCTCTTTCTTCTCTTCCTGTCCCTCTGTGTCTCTGCCCCCATGCCAGGTCTGGAGCTTGAGTTTGCAAACTCTGCTTGGGAATCCGAGTGAGTCCTGAAAAGGTCAATTTCTCCCTTTTTAACACCAGTGTAATTGACTTTGGACCATCTGCCGGGCTTCGCCATGCATTAACATAATGGCAGATGAATGCGCAAAGATAATTTGGTTATAAAAGGCCCTTTTTCTGCCTTCTCCCTTCACTGTGCAGATGAAGGTTAAAAGAATGGCAGGCCTGGAAGCCAGAGGACAGTGGCTGCTGATGCCAAGGGGACTATGAGAGGCTGTCCTTCGAGGAGGAGGGGAGCCATGCCTGGACAGATCCATTGGTAGGAAAGCTCAGTAACCAGGTGGTGGCTCTCTGTGCCTTTGGGCCTTGTTATCAGAGCTATGACCCAGATGCAGGCCTCTGTGGGAGAATAGGCCACGCCCCATCCCAGTAACATCTAGACAGTCTCAAGTCCAGAGGAGCTAGCCTGATCTCTACAGCTCCCCTTTGTGAAGTCTCCTGGGTTCTCCTAGGGAACAACCAGGAAGCCCTGGGGGCTCACCAGAAAGTGAGTGATTGGCTATGTCTCTGAAAAGCTGTGAGTAGGTCTCACATACCCAGTGTCCCCCTATCAGGACTGCAGGTAGCAGTATCAAACCAAATTTCGTAATAGATGATCCACGGGCAAGCGGCTGGCATGACTTAGTGTTGTGCTGCTAGCCCCCAGTGGCCTTGAATGCACTTGTGTGCACCCTGTCTTGAGATGCACACAACCCATTCTTGACCTGTGCTGTAGTACCTTCCAACCCTGTATTACCACTTCCGGGTATGGGCAAATACCTGGATAGCCCTCCTGCCCAGCTCCCTCCTCCAAACTTCATTTCCCATCTCTGGGACCTTAAACTCAGAGGCAACCTGGACAGGGTCCATTCTGGATGACCCATTCTTGTCCCCTGGGCAGTGCCTTCTACTCCTCCATGTTCCCAGTGGCGTTCCCAGCCCCAGAACCAGGTGCCCCGTTGCCTTTGGACCTCCCTGTCCCTGGGTTCCCAGTGTCTTCCAAAGTCCTCCAAAGGCTGACCTCAGCTACCTCTGCACCCCGAAGCAACACTCACGCTTCCACTTTCCTGACACTTCTCCAGGCCCCACCTACCCAGAGCCTCCTTCCCACCTTAGACAGCAGACCTTGTCTACTAACTTGTGTGTGTTATAGTAGGTTTTCATCTCATAGCTCTTTATTTCAGGTGATGCTGAGGAATCAAACCCAGGGCCTTTCCCAGGGAAAACAAACAATCTACCACTAAGCTTCATCCTTCCCATGGTGCTTGAGACAGAGTCTAGCTATGTAGCTCAGGCTGGCTTTGAATTCACTGTGTGGCCGAGGCTGGCCTAAGTGCTGGGATGATAGGTGTACAGTAACTGTTCTGCTAATCATTTTTAACTCAATTACATTTAGTTAGTTAGTTAGTTAGTTAGTTAGTTATGTCTCTGTCTCTCTGGGGGTGGGGAGCATATACAGGTCATAGCATTCCTGTGAAGGTCAGAGTTCAACTTTCAAAAATCAGTTCTCTCTTTGTAGCATGAGGGAATGGAACTTGGGTCACCAGGCTTGGAGGCAAGAGCTTTTACTCACTGAGCCATCTTATCAGCCCACTAATAACTCTTTTGAATTAACAATGCTCACGGTGCATAATCTGCAAAACGTACAAAACAAGGAAAAGAACTAATTGGCTCCGAATTCCCCACGTGGCAGTCGTGATAGTGACAGTCGAGATAGTGACGCCCATGTCCCTTCCCTGGCTTGTTCTTGGCGCAGTTCTCTCTGTGCTCCTTCCTGTGTCTTACTCCCCTCCCTTTTTCTGCCTCTCTGAGAACATCTGGCCCAGATTCTTCCACACAGTAGGCCCTCAATAGGCATTTACACCCAGTAGGCCTTTAGTAGGCATTTCCAGAATGGAGAGAAGTAGCAGGAAGGATATGCCTGGCAGACTTGTGTGTTTTCTTTTAAATAACAGAATACCACCGGGTTTCAGTGCCTGCCTGGCATCTTTCAGAATGTGGTTGTTTTCATAGGAATTTGTAAATCTGAAAACACTTGGATTTCTTTTTTCTTTTTCTTTTTTTTCTCATGATGGTTTTTTTTTAAGGTTTATCTTTTTTTTTAAGAATTATTTATTTTATTTTATGTATAGGAGTACACTGTAGCTACCTTCAGAAGAAGGTATCAGATCCCATTACAGATGGTTGTAAGCTACCATGTGGTTGCTGGGAATTGAACTCAGGACCTCTGGAAGAGCAGTCAGTGCTCTTAACCACTGAGCCATCTCTCCATCCCCTGGATTTCTTTTTTCTTAATTAATTCATTCTTTCACAATGTCATACGCATATGATGTACTTTGAATGTCTCCCCCATGGTCCCCTCAGCTCCTTCCCCTCCCACTGAACCTTTTCTTCCCAACAGACTCCCCCACTCCTACTTTCAAGTCTTTGGGGGGGCACTGTATTGTATTAGGGTTGTCTGCAAGAGCAGAGATTATTAAACAAGGGCAACTTACCACTGAGAAATTTGACTCTCCCTCCCCCAGCAACCATTAACTGCCTACAGTTTCCCAGAAAGGGGTGGGGCCTTATGAGCCCCTCCCCAATCCCTGATGGAATCATCAGCTCCGGCTCCTCAGCACAGGACTCAAGCAGGTAGCCACAGCAGCTTGAGTCTTGCAAGCATGTCTGTGTGTCTCCTGAGCCTCCTGACTCACTGCAGAAGCGTCACTGGTTCATCCAGAGAGACCAGGGCCCCCATCCTTAACTGACCACTTTGTATGAGTCTTGCTCATTTTGGTCAGGTAGCAACCTCTGCACGCCTCAGTTTCTTCATCTGTGTTTTAGGGACTGTACTGCTTTCATGGCAGAACAGTAGGACGGTTGAAAAGAGGCAACATGCCACTCGGAGGTGTCACTCAGCTGACTTCGGATATGCTATTTTTTTAAAACTTGCCCTATCTCTCATAAGTATAGGAGCATTTTTTGTGGAACTTTCCTACTGACACTGCCAGCCCACCCACATAGATCCAGAAAACTGACGCTTGCCTTGATTGAAACTGTCAGCTCTCTGGCCTGGTCCGGATGCTTAGCAATGGCCACATCCTGCCCTGCAGCTGCAGCTCATCATTAAAACACATCCCAACACTTTACAGTTAGTCTCAACCTAGCGACCACCGTGCACAGAATTCCTTGCACTGCCTAGGACATTTAACAATAGCTCAGAGTTCTGTGAACTAAGTGTTACCTTAAAGAGCAGTAACCCATTCGTGCATGGCCTCCCTCAACTCCTTCACCCCTGAAGTAAATGCCAATCATTTGGTAAATTCATTAGCTGATTCCTTAATAATTGCAGACATGTAATTCACACTTACTGATTTAGTCTGTGGGCTGCCAGGGTGGCCTCTTTGAAAGAACCATCCTCGGAACTCTGCCTAATACTCTGCTTCCTTGCCACGGCCTCATTAAGGACTGATTTAATAAAGTAGTTTGGTAAGGACTTAGATATTTCCAGGCATTATTCGTTTCCCTCTTGTCTTTCCTACATTTCCGATGTGGTGTCTTTTGTTAGTTCTCTCCTCCCCTGTGTAAATGCTGGTCCAGATTCTTTCTGACTTTCTATCATCGAGCAGTAAGTCTGTCTTTCGCCTCGATTGTCCATAGCCTTAATTGATTCTGCCTAATCTCCTTGCAGGGGCCAAGGTTAATTCCCCAGGCATCTACCACTGAGTCAGCCTGCAGTAAATTCTCTCCCCGCTGTAATCACGGCCCCGATAACACCGGCTAGCAGATTTTCCAGCGATTTGAGATAACCAGGCGGTTATTACCAGTTTGAGGCTTTGACACTGAGCAAGCTGGTTGTCACCAATCATACATCAGCTGCATTTCCATCCGTCTTCCGTGACATCTTCTAGTGTCATGAAGAGCAAGGACAGAGGCTTAGATAGCTGCCGGTAGCCAATATGACCAGAGTGGCCATCCAAGCCTCTAGGGACACGAAGACTCTCCATGAGCTAGGTAGTCTTTTTTTCTTCTCTTTCAGCAATATTGGAGACTGAACCCAGACTCTTCGATATGCTAGCCAGCTAAGAATTCTACCCCTGAGCTGCATCTGCAGCTCTCTGTTAAGTTTATATTTTAAGACACTGTCTCTCTGAGTTGCCCAGGCTGATCTTCAACTCACTCTACAACTCAGGCAGGCTTTGTACTTGTAGCTTTCCTACCTCAGCCTCCAAAGTAGCTAGGACTAAAGGCTTGCACCCCTTCCCCTAGAGCTGGCTTAAATAATTTAATTATTGTCAGTGCTGACTTTGTCTCGTAAGGCCTCTGAAAGGGACACACTCCCCCTCCGTTGTAGATACACGGAAAGTGGATGCAAGCTCGATTCTATCAGTGATCATCTCTTCATTCTATTGTATACCGCCGACACACAAATTAAAACAGAATGTTGGTCTGCAAAAGTCCTGGCATAATTCAAAGGCTCTCAGACTGTGTCTCAGGATTGCTGTCCCCCAGGATTGCTATACCCCAGTTTTACTTTAGCTGTCTGTGTGTCCCCAAGTCAGGTAGCCTTTCTCTCTGAACCACAGTTAGACGTGAGACCTCTGAGATCATGTCTCACAAAGCCAGAGGTGAACACATGTGTAGCAAGGACAGAGAGATACCTAAGTTTCTAAGAAATCAAGTCCACGCGTTGAGAGAGATTCCATTGCTTACGCCCTGCTTAGAAATCACATTCTTTCAACAAGATAATGAAAGAAAAGAATATTTCATTTACCACGGTCAAAGGCTGTTGTGTGTAGTGTGTCCCTGCCTGCCCAGCCCCTCACCCAGACTACCAGCTGCTCTCAGGCTATAGATGTATCGAACAGCTCCTGTGGCAGGGCCTGGACCATATCTGTATCAAACAACCACCATGCTCTGGACCTGTCAACTCCTCATTCAATACCCAGGGGACACACCACAGAAAGCCATGGGGATACACCACAACAAGCTGGTACACTCAGATCTTTGGTAAGTGACAAGTACTCATGGAAGCCAAGGTAGCTTCAGAAGCCAGCTGAGGTCACTAGATAATGCTACCTTCCATTTGCCCCGCCCCTCTGTACAGTGCATATTCATCAGGTTCCGGGGGAAGGCCAAGAGTTCTTCCAAAGCCTCACAGCATTGGTTGGGGATGGGCTGCAGGTTTCTCCTGATGTTCTGGGTGTCTCTGAAGGCGTGCTCGTGAGTCCTGCATGCGAGTTGGCTTTGCAACTTCAGATGCACATCCTGTGCACTGACAGTGGTACTGTCAGTACTCTCAGATGGAATTAGGATTCTGCAGCCTAAGGTTGTTAAACAGACAGACAGCCTTGGGCTGTGTTTGGGGCCGGCTAGTCGAGCTACTCAGCAGGTGGAAACACGTCTCAGCTGAGATACCTTCTTCAACACTTTTCTGCTTCAGTCTGGCGTTTCTCTGACAGTCCACACAGATCCTCCTGCTTCACAAGCATGAGGCAGCCACTGAGCCTTGTCTTTGAACAATCTCTTACTGTGTGGTTCATTGTGTGTCATGTGCTGTCCTCCTGTGCCCCTCCCCCCGCAGTGCCCACTCTTGTGCTTGGCACACCATTTGTGTGACCAGTGCTCTTTCAATGACGTGAAAGGGTCACGGATCATGATCTGATCAGGGGCTAGAGAGGTTGGATAGATAGTTCTACAATCATTGTTTTATGCCTGTGAGTTAATTCATATTTTTAAAAAATGCATGGATTATTGACAACACCTTACATTGTGACTTCTGTCCAACTCATCTTACACATAGCTGCCAGATAATAAAGTATCCCCGTGCCATACTCCAGCAATGCAGAAACATACAGCTGATTTCATTTTTCATCTTAGTTCTGCCATAGGCATTCCCCACGGCCCTTTCTCCTTCTCCTCGGTCTGTCAGAGGAGAATCGCCCCCTGGAGATCACTTAATGCCAACCATCCTTTTAGCACATAATGACCTGGCAAGGTCACTGCAGGTGACTCTTAGAGGTAGCAATCGAGCCCTGATATCCTGGCTGCACCCTGTGGCCACCCATTCCAGCTTGGAGCAATATGGGTACACATCACTCATCCTTTCTTCCTCCTAGGACTCTTTCCTGGGCTGGGCAAGACACTTCCCCACTTGCTTCTCCTGGGTGGAAGAATATCTCCCATTCACTGCTTAAAACAAGCTTCCCGCAGGAGGAGGAGACACAGTCTGCCTACGGGAGAGCCCAGTTCTCTCCAGCACCCAGAGATGATGTGGATGCTAAATGCTCCTCCTTCCTTCCTTGATCCTGATGCTCTGAGCAGAGAGCAAGCACCAGACAACAATCCAGACCCCAGCGTTTCACTCACCACTTGCCCTTCCTGTGAAGTGAGCCATTCACAAACATGAAGGTTCCCAGGACTTTCCTTCGCCCTCCACATCAGACTAAAGTTCATATACACAGTGGTTTTGAACAACATTGAATAATATAATTTATGTTGTGTGTATAGATTTTCCCAATCCTAAAACTAACACACAGTTATATTCTAAAACATTGTTGTGCTTCCTCCCTCTCCCTACTCCTGCTCTTTTTTTTTTTTTTAAACAGGACAGGAGACGGAGTCTTGGTTCTAGCACAAAAGGCAAGCACTCTGTGCCTGACCTACAGCCCCCCTCCCAAAAAAAATTAAGATGCAGAGGAATATAAAGAAATAAAACCACCTATGATCCTATTTCCAAGGAATCAAGAATCTCTCCCCACCCATCCCAGCCCTCATTCCCCATGCATACATACACTTACAGTCAGAGAGACTGTCCACCGTGGCTTCCTGCCCCAGGAAGACCTTCTGTTCTGGGATTCATTTTGGACCATCACCAGCAAAAATCCTCCCACCAGGGTCTAGCTACTATTGGTGTCTGTCAGCTGGATGTCCCCAAGTGCCCCTTGAAATTTTTTCACAGGGCCCAGCTGCTGCAATCTCATGAGATTCCCTAGGAAGCCCTGGAGGCCTAATGCCTCTTTGACACTGTGTGCTGAGGACAGGGACCTGTTACAGTAAAATTCAATTGATGATTTCTTCCCCACCCTTGGTCATACAGTCCCCAAATAAAAGACACAAGACCTTTATATTTAAAACAAGCCTTAACAGCACTTAGAGCTGAGCAGATATCAACCCCATATGCTGTTTTGTCTACTTCTCTGTCAATAACCCCGAGATACTATTTGTCTTGTTCCCCCTGGACCGTTCCTACTCCAGCCCTCATGACCATGTGTTCATGATCAGCCTGCCTCATGGTGTCTTCTTCCTTCTCTCCCCTCCTCTCTCCTTGTGGTCTCTGCTTCAGACTCCAAGCCAGGAAACCAAAACCTGCCTACCTCTCTTGTGCCTAGCTACAGGCTGTAGGCATTTTTATTGACCAATCAGAGATAACTTGGAGGGGAGTGTTACATAGCATCGCTTGGTGTATGTAACGGCCGTTTCTTTTGTAACAGCCGTGGGGTTCTGCTACTTTGTAAAGGCCGGCCGGTTCTGCTGCTCCGGTCGGCAGGCCAGGGTCTAGCAAGAGAGAGAGTGGGGACAGAGGAAG